TCGTCTAAACTTCATACACATCCTGCGGCGATAGCTTGATAACCAATCTTCCGAAACTACAGGAAGATGCGGAAGACTAGTGCTGAGGTGAGATATCTCTTTGGTCCGGGAATTGGGAATAGGCCGTTGCTTGTGAAATGATGTCGCCTGAGAGCCCTCTGATGAGATCATGACCCGATTTAAATTTACTCTATTAGACTGCTTTCTCCAATTTACAATTTGGCTGAAAGTGGCTGCTGGCAGATCCAGAAGCCTATGGATGAGTCCCAGAAGAAGCAAATGCTGCTGGTGTCGACTAATAAGACGCGAAAAACAACGCATATATTGCATATTAGGAATGCTATCAGCAGAGAATAGGCCTGTCTTAGTTGTGGTAGCGACTTCATGATCGGCCAACTTGGATTTAATAAAGCAATTAAAATTTTTAGTGACAGAATCATGTGTTGCCTTTGAGTAACTGGTGCCAACAGGGCGTGGTTTTATAGGCGACTGGATACAAGTACAAAGGACAAGACAATGCTGGGGGCAGAAGTACAGAAATGGTGTAAATAAGTATGGAGAACTTATTCGACTTTCAGGGGCAGGAATCGGATTGAGAGAAGCCGGAAGGATTGAATTTGCAACGGGAAGACGAAAAAACTGCCTAGTGAGAGAAAAAAGAAAGAAATTTTTATAAATATTTCCTTCTCCTGAGCCTAGCAATCCTATGATCGTTTCTAATTTTTAAAAGTATACCTTTTAATCTAGCAAGTGACAAGGGATAATAGGGCATGAATGATTCATCCTTTGCTAGGTTAATTATCAACTGAATCATCAGAGAAAGTCTTAGGAGCAATAAGTATCTAAGCCATTCAAGGTTACCACAAAGCCAAAAATTTTAAAAAACAGAAATGCGTAGATATTTTTCAAGACTAAGAAGCGTTATAAACCAATAATGTTTAAAGACCTATGCAATAAAAAATCCCCTTACCTTCAAAAAGCTCTGGACAAAAATGCCACTAAATTTCTTCGATAAATAATGTTCGAAATTTCACATTTGGGTTTTGAATGGTTCCTTTAAAGTAGCCATAATATTTGGGTGTCATAATAATAATAATATATCATTAGATTCTTAAATGATTTTTGTGGCCCTGAGATCCCAGTACATATCAAATAATTTACTATAGCAAGACATCTAGATAAGTGCAGTTATTCAATCAAGATTTTTTAGTAGAACTAGAGTAACAAAATCAACAAGAACTAGGCGAGGTCGAAGCTGCAGTCCACCTGAACGAGAACGCCTTTGGGAAAGCAAGGCTATGTGAAATTCAATGGAAATATCAGCTTTACTCATAACATTGTTGGAAAATTCAACTACCAGTCCTTCATTACCTTAAACGAAATAGTAAACACAACTCATAGAGTAACAAAATACTTTGAACTTTTCAAACAATATTTAAAGATATAAAGAATTAATCACCCTAAAGCGCTAAGGCAATTTAAGGACTGATTGTTTAGGCTTCTTACAATGAAACGAGTAGTCATCACGATTCAATTGAACTTCCATGTTGAAAAGCAAGGTTAGGTGGGATGCATCGACATCGTAATGCTTATTCATCTCAATGAAGGAAAATTCAACTAGCAACCAAATCATACCTAAAATTTTAAGTTCCAACATGAGTACAGGATTCTGTTAATCACAGTGATGCTAAAGGCGCAGTTCCTTGAACGATTTCCCAACCCTGTTTACTGCCTGATTTATGGTGTAATATACAGTATTGGTTGAACCTTCCATGATGGGCAGAAAATTAAGTATTTTTGCCATTCAAATTCCCGAACTGTGTTTACCCTATATCGTTTAATATGATAAAAGCTAGTGTTTGAATTTATCCCCAATTATGTGGGTAGGCCTCATGTTACCCTTTAATTTCGCATGGCCTTGTTTCCCAAAGGATGTTCTCATCCAGGAAGGACTGAAATTACGATCCCGCCTAGGTCTCATCGGCATCGCTAAATGGACTCGAATCCAGATAATTCAGCGCATAATCTCGACAGATCAACGACTACACTAAATTGCTATTAGTGTCATCGAGTCACAGAGCAGGTGTGCATTTCAAGGAAGGTCAGTTCTTTTCTATATAACATTCTTTGCTGGAGTTGAGAAAATTAAATTAGCAATTCTTCATCACCTCAAACAAAATAAGATGAGCACACCCAAGAAAGGTCGTAGCGAATAAGATGACTTGAATAAATACAAAAACATGATAGTAATAAATAGTAAAATATGAAAGCGGAAATCTCTTCAAAAGCGATAACATTATATAAAGTAGAAAGGAAAAATTGAGTTATCCTCCCATATCCCACACTAAGAATGGCTAAATTGAATGTATTCCAAGTCCAATGGTCAATCCCAAGGGTAATTTGGGCCCAGTATACTTACTCTTTTAAGTAGATATATAGTACTTAGTAGATACAAAAAGTAACTTGCGCCTTGATATAGCCACAATTGATAAACCTTTCAGAGGGATGCGATGAAACGACTTCAAAAGATACCTAGCTCTTACACTTCAATATAACAGTGGCGAAAGGCGATTGATTTAAACATTTATAAATGATTTTTTTCTAGCCCATCTCTGAAAGATAATTTATATCAAATAACGACTATTTTATCAGGGCATGAAATTTTAGTAATTGTTATAATAATTGCGTGCTCACTTTATCAAATACTGCCACAAAAAAGGTGGACAATTCTCTTCCCAAAGCGTTAGAGTCCTTGATAATAGTTTATCGATCTCATTCTCTTGACCCTGAATCTGATCACCAGGGCCCGCGATCTCTACATCTGGAGAATTGTTTTTAATGGTAGTCATGGTAACAGCCGAATCTCTTTGGTAAGATAACAGAAATGGTTTGTTAAGAGAGCAAGAAAGGAATACAGATGTAAGAAGTCGCCGGCTCGTCCTCAGCGGGACCAGCCGGCGAGGACAAATGCATTCGACAGAGTGCTGCTTGCAATGAATTGATGTTTGCAGCATGTTGCTGACGTTTTCAGATACGTTCAACTGTGGCTGTCCATCACTTTTGTCAGCCTCAGTTGAGATAGATGTAGGTTTGGCAGAGCAAATTGTTGCTGCCGAAATCCAAAGCGAGCCAGTTGCCAACCAGGTACGCCAAACATGAGCTGGAAAGAGACGCAAAACTGTAATTAGACTTGCTCTTCCGTCCAGCTGATGAAGATGGTGGAGCTGATTAGAGCCTTGAGAGGGTTTAGCGTGGTCAGCGAATACCTTTCTAACATTAGTATTATGAGATGGAGATGGAGAAAGATGTAGACTTTGTGTCATTTCGGATGATGGTGTGGGTTGGCCCAGTTGCGATGCATTCTGGGCAGACGAAAATGAAGAAATTGTAGAAGCAGAAGAAGATGAAGAATAAGGAGAGACAAATTCGGTGTTTTCCGATCTTAGCAAATGCAGAGGGCTATGAAGACGAGAAATAGAATTAACCCGATCAGCAGAACAAGAAATTAATTTAGGTTGAAGAGGCCGGCTCACAGGACAGATCATCGTATTAACATCATAGCAAAATGAAGAATTTCTTCGATTACTGCGGGGAAGGTTGGTGACCAGAAAGGGGAAATCATTTGACCCAGTGCAGATTGAATGTCGGTAATGAGCTTGTAGACGGTATAAAGGTGATATAAGAATTTTAAAATAAAAATTAAGCAGGGAAATATTTAAAAAAATTAAAAAGAATCAATATCATTTAAAATTAATGATCATCAAGTCATTAACCGACAAGCAAGAGCTTCATACAAGGTAGATAAATATATTTAGGCCCTAAAGTTACCCAAATAGAAAATTTGCTTCTGTGTACCAACGAAGCCTAGAGGGAATATGCCTAAGCATGCAAAAATAAAAAGGAACTAGTTTAGCTATTGTGCATAGATTCTAATTAAGGGGATGAAGTACAGATAGAGAAAAGCTTATTATCCAGAAATTTCTGGAATATAAATAAGTTTTATAATTATAAAAGTTGATAAAGGTAATACTACATAATTATTGAAGTGGGTTGACCTCGTTGTCGCAACTTGGTCTTGTGTTCAGGGAGACTATGTAGAACGCA